AGAAATGAAATGTAGCTTTCTGAATCAATGAAGCTTTTCTTTAAATTGTGTTGAAAAAGGTACATTAGTGCACATTAGTGACACCTGGTGGTTAAAAACATGTTTTGGAAAAAAAGTCAAAATCTTTATCTTCTACTGATTTAAAAGTAGGTGATTGATTTCTAAAGCACTGAAAGTAATCAGTAACATAAATATGACACTGAGATGTCTTATAAAAATCACCTTAGAGGCTCCAGATAGCGTTGTATTATATTGAGCTGGTATTTATAAGTGCCCCATATAATTTACACAAATTTCATCTCCGCATTTAAACCATCCTTGCAGTGAAACACCACATACACACTAGGAGCAGTGGGCAGCCCTATCCACAGCGCCCGGAGAGCAGTTGGGGGTTAGGTGCTTTGCTCAAGGGCACTTCAGTCATGTACTGTTGGCTCAGGGTCTCCCCCATAGGACACTCTCCACAAAACACACTCCCCTTGCCAGTGTATAGTTATGCCTCACAAAATATTAGTCAATCAATCAACTTTTATTTAAACTTAAAAATTTCATTTAAAAAGATCATTTACAATGTAGCTGAGCAAATACAAAAAAGCCTTTTTTATTGTAAAAACATATCAAACGCTAAAAAAGTAATAAGAATAATCATAATAGTAAATTTAATAGTAAAAAAAAATCTATAAAATCAAAATAAACCATAAAAACTGCAACAATATAATAACTTAATAAATAACAGTTGAAACGGGGTTTGAATAAATAAAAGTCCATAGGTAATGAGATAAATAAAGGAATAAACTATGTAAAACAATAACTTGGCACTAGCTAAGAAGTAAAAGTTAATAATAAAATAAAGAAAAAGAATAATAAAAGTGAAACAATAAATAAAATATGCCAAAATCTTGTTAAAATATAACTATAATCAGGTAAAGCAGTGTGGGGCAGAGTGGAGGTGTTTAGAGACTAAAAGTGTAAAATCATCACATTCATGACTCCAGCGAGTGAAACGTTTCCCGTAATGAATTCCAGCTCATTGTTGCAGCGAAAAGCAGATTTTGCCAGTTCAGTAAAAGCTCTTGGCTGACTGAGTCACTGCATTTTTGTGATGTACAGTGGTGCTTGAAAGTTTGTGAACCCTTTAGAATTTTCTATATTTCTGCATAAATTTGACCTAAAACTTCATCAGATGTCCTAATAGTAGATGAAGAGAACCAAATTAAACAAACAAGACAAAAAGATTAGATTTGGTCATTTATTAATTGGGGAAAATGATCCAAGCAAAGGTTCTCGTACTGTTGACACTCACAGATATCTAATATAGGATTAGCAGAGTGGAGAATGGAGTCTAGAGATTTCAGAGGAGTTTGCAGACACATTTCTGTGTATCATAATCCTGGGTAGACAATAATGCTGCTTTCACCATCTTTTTTCTTGTGCACACTGGGAAAGAGTTTGTTTCGATACAGAAAGCCAGGTTTTAGCCATAGTTTACATGTTAGCATGTTAATATGGTATTTGTGGTAAATATGGTGTTTATCGTCTAGCCACATGCCAAGTAAGGTATTTGTACTCACTAACTCTTTCAGTGTCAGATCTCTTCAGGGTTGTGATTTTAAAAGCATTAAGATCAATGAGTGCGTATACATGCACTCAATAATCCGATAACAGCAGAAAATCAGATTTTGTCAGTAAGCCGATCAACGTGTTTACATGCTCTTGAGTAATCACGTAATGGGGAAACATGAGTCAGACAGTAATCAGATTTCTGCGTTACAACCAGCCAATAGATTCTCAGAAGAAGACGTGACGTAAACATAACGTAAAACTCAAACTTCATGAACAGCTTATTTTAAACATCGCGCCGCTTCACCTGAAAATATGAACACACATCATCTAGAAGATGAAGAATATTTAAATCCTTTATTTCGTGTTTGGTTTCAGCGCCGCTCCAACAGTGGCTTTGTTTACATGCAAAGATTTTTGCCAATCCGATTGAATACAATCCGATTACAGATTCAGACTGAGGTGTTTATATGCACACTATTCAACAATTTGATGGAAAATCTTCGTTTACATGAGCACTACAAGTAATCCGATGCAAAATGACGCGCATGCGTGGAGTAGCCCTTAGAGTAAACATTACCATGACAGCGAACATCACGTGAGGTCTAGTCCGCGTGATATGAGTTTCCAGTTGGCGCGCTTGTGTTTTAATTGCTTTAAAATGATGTCAAACTCAGGAAAACGTGCTTCACACGCACTTATAAAGGAAGCGGCGAGAGGAAGACGTCATATTCTGAGACTCATAAGCTGGACGTCCGTCCCACCGCCGTCTTTTAAAGACCAGAGCATAAACTTCGTCTCCTCTGCAGACCAGTTTCTGCTCCGCCATGTTGAACGGTATAAACTTTCGCCATGACGCGACGCACATGCGTAGAACATGCTTACACATTCCGATTGGGATGTAATCGGATTCAGGCGTTTACATGGCTATTATTCTTCTATTTAACGGATTATTTAGAGGTTTACCCACCTCGTTCAATCGGACAGAAATTGTATTCCGAATGGCCTCAATCGGGCTAGACTATTCCGATTGAGGTGTTTACATGGACGTGTTCTATTCCGATTGAGCTATTAGTCGGATTATTAACGGATTATCAGGCTGCATGTAAACGTGGCTAGTGTTTTGCTGCGTCTCTGACATCCACCGTCTGATCTCGCACATGAGCAGACTGAGAAATCTGATAGAAATCGGAGTGAGAGTTTACATGCACTGAGAAATCTGATTACTGAACTAAAATCCAGCCTCTTTATCGGGTTTCTTAATCGGATTTCTAGATCGGAGTATGGTGTTTACATGACAATTTGAATAATCAGATAATTGCAGGAATTATGATTGGATTAGTGTGTGCATGAGTGCAACATTTAAAGCTTGTTTATGATTGTAAAAAGCCGAGTGTAGGGCGTTAAAACACTGCTGCAGTTTATCCACTGCAGTACCAGACCTGTGAACCGATTTTGATTCATCAGGCAGAGGCTTTGTTGCATCTGTTCTGCTAGAGGACAAAGCATCTTAATATATGTTACTATGGCTCCCCCTGCTGCATTCATTTAGAAATGCATGTTTTAGAATATCCAAGGTTGAACAATAACACTTGCGAATGCCCTCACACAGAGCAATACACAAAGAACTCAATGCTAATCTGAACCTAAAATTAAATGTCAAATCAAGTGTCTTCTTATTTCTTTTAAATACATTTTCACACCAGCTAATCAAAATGCTGCAGATGCTGACTGATAAATTGTCAACAGATGAGCTACAGTCTGTAACTGTTCATCTACAAAGTAGACACCTAGAAGGAAGGTGTTTCAAATAAAGTGGCCAGTTAGTGGAAACACAAGGTAGGTGTCTCTAATAAAGTGGCCAGTTAGTGGAAGCACAATATGGGTGTTTCTAATAAAGTGGCCAGTTAGTGGAAGCACAAGGTGGGTGTTTCTAATAAAGTGGCCAGTTAGTGGAAGCACAAGGTAGGTGTTTCTAATAAAGTGGCCAGTTAGTGGAAGCACAAGGTGGTTGTTTCTAATAAAGTGGCCAGGTAGTGAAAGCACAAGGTGGGTGTTTCTAATAAAGTGGCCAGTTAGTGGAAGCACAAGGTAGGTGTTTCTAATAAAGTGGCCAGTTAGTGGAAGCATACAGTGGGTGTTTCTAATAAAGTGGCCAGTTAGTGAAAGCACAAGATGGGTGTTTCTAATAAAGCAGCCTGTTAGTGAAAGCAACACAGTGGGTGTTTCTAATAAACTGGCCAGATAGTGGAAGCACAAGGTGGGTGTTTCTAATAAAGTGGCCAGTTAGTGGGTGGAAGTTAAAAGGTAGTGGAGCCAATTTTTAAACTGATTTCATGGACAATTAAGGTCAATGATGGTCAGGATGTAAAAGCCAATAGGTGATCTATAATATCCTCAGTCATCCCACTGAGCAAAGTCATCATCACACTGTTGGCACTGTTGTAGTTAAATGATTTGCATGTTCTACCTGTGGTGCCTAGACATTTCTCAGTAAAGCTGCTGCCCAAACAAGTTCCTTATATACACTTTGCTTCAGTGGGCCCAACCCCATCCTGCCAGTGTTGAAATGAGAAGCCAAATACTTAAATAAACACATGTTAAACAGGACAGGGTGTGAAGCAGACCAAGTGTTATATAAAAAAGGAAAGTGGAGCATTTCATATCACCACAATGTGTTTTGTAAGAGGTACAATAAAATGACATAACTGGGCCTGCTACTGGAAGAGGGACATGCACTGCAGTAAATGATATCTTAGCAAAAGAAAACATCTTATATCTACTCAATCCATGTAATCTTTCTCATTACGGGGTTGTTGTAAGAATATTATACTATTATGTCACTTATTTCTAGATTTTTTTTAAACTAATATTGAATACTTTTATCTAATTAAAGTGTCTTATTCTACTGGCAGATCTGTTTACTTGTTTCAAACATTATTTCTTGAAATAAGCAAAATTATCTGCATTGTTTTTGAAGTAAAATGATCTGCCAATGGAATAAGACACTTTCACCAGATAAAAAAAAAAATATATAAAAATATATAATACTTAAAAATATATGAATAAGTTCAATAATCCTATATTATTCTTACAACAACCTCATAATGAGAAATAGTAGACATATTGACTATATTTAAGATGTTTTCACTCGCTCAGAGGTCATTTTTGCAGTATGAACATGAGTGTAATGGTAAACACAGGCTATTATACATGCTCAGCAGATCTGGGCTCACATTATAAAGTGTGAATGAGGCCAAATCCGTAGAGAAGAAGCCACTGAAACCCTATGTCGACTGAATTATCTGTAATTATCTGCGTTATGCGCTTTGACCTAAATGTTACATGACTTTCATTCCAGCGCTCTCATAACTGGAGAGAGCGCATGCGCAGACACGCTGTCCTCAAACAAACTCCTTCGGTCATTGTAACCCATTTACCTCCTTAGAGTGATCCCTCACGGGTTAGATCCACCTCCGGGATTGAGGTTAAACATGTCTGCTGCGTGAATCAGCTCAAATAAGTTCCATAAATGTGGGCAATGTCACTGTTTACCGCTGTTTTCTCCGTCTGTCCTCATCGCTTAACACAAACGTGCCACTGTTGCTATGGAGACGGCTAGCCTGGGTGCTAACGGTTGTTTTGCTAACGCTTGCAGTGGAGTTTAATGCAGACACTTTATGGAACATTTTCGTTTTTATTTTCATAATGTGGAGGTCTTTATAGCTGGAAAACTGGAGTGGATGTGTTTAATATGTTTTTAGAGCGTTTAAAAGAGTTTAAATCTGATATATGCCAATAAATGGCTTTATAATATGTGACATAAGCTATATTAGTTAACATACATAACGTTATATGCATCAGCCACATAGCTATGGCCATATTTGTAACATATATGGCATTTTATTTGAGATTAGCCATGAAATATATTTTTCAGCCATTTATCAACAAATACAAACATATATGTGTAACACTTTTTTAACAATATATGGTAGAAAACATTCATATATGGATGGCATTTATACTAGTTTCATGTTATATAGGGCTTTTTACTGAATGTTTGCTTCTGGTGCTTTTAATTTTAAAAAATATTTCGCTGTTTGTCTTATTTGTATGATCCATGCATCAGACGTGTATCAGATATACAGTACGATCCATATATAGTGCATGTGTCCAGTATTTGATACATGCACATTACATATATGTGCATATATTTTAAAACGCATGCCTGACCCTTTGCAATACACGTGCATATATGACCATGTATCAGATTTTTTCATAAAAACAACTTCATGAAAATTATGTTAAATCCCAGGTTTGAGCCAGATACCAATGTAAAACGTCTAGCCTTAGCTGCCCACTTTATACACTTTAGAGCTGTTTATACATTTCCTGTTTGTACCCATATGGAAATCTGATATATGGTATAAAGGGCGTATGTTTTAAAATATAAGCACATATATGTAGCATACATGTATCAAATATTGGACCCATGCTCTACATATATGGATCATACATGTTTGTCTGACACATTGGGCCTAAAACCAAATGGGCCTAAAATGCCAAAATATTAAGATTTTAATGGTCAAATCATTAAACAAATAGACAAAGTATCTTAAAATGGGAGAGCTTTTCACTTTGGTTTCTTTAAATGTTGATGTGTTGTGTTTAAATTTGCAGACGGTCTTTTACTGAAAGAAGAGTCAGTATTGATCCACACAGCACTGACGGCTTCAAACAGCTGCAAAACGTTGCCGAGCTAGTTTGTGTTTAATGAGAGATCAAATATTCTCTACAGGGTTTAAATCTGCACCAGCCAAAACCATCATTACACTGTCAGCACACAAGGTTCTGTGCAGGTACATTTCTCGTTCATCAAGGTTCAAACAATGTAAATGTCCCCTCAAAGGTACAACAGTGGTTTTAAGGTCTGATTGTGAACCTTAAATAAGTTTTTCCAGGTGAAAAGTTCGTATTTGTACCTTTTCATAACCGAATGTTTTAAAACAGAACAGTAAAATAAAAGCCTGGAGACGAGACGGGGTGTGTGGAGTCAGAACAGCTTATTTCAGTGGATTATGGTACAGTTATGTTCCCTGATTAAAGGTACTGAGATGGACCCTTGAGGGTTCCACCCCAGTGACTAGAGGGGCACTGACCCAGAGACAGTTTAGTGCCTTTATTTCTGAGAGTGCACAAACCATATTTTGGGCTTGGCCTATTTGTTTTGCTCAGGAGGATGTTTGTTTATGTTGATATCTGTGTCTCATATTTGGAAATGGCCAATTTCAAATAAGTTGGCGTCACACACACACACACACACACACATATGTATATACATATATATATATATATATATATATATATATACACATATTGAAATATATAAGTTGAAAATAACGCTAATACATGTCATGAGTCCCCTTTTATTTCCTGTTTGTTGTCCCACAAACCGAACATTAAGTTCCCTGTCTATGTCAGGGCCTTTTAGGGTGTAGTTGTCGTTTCAGCTCCGGTACACTGAGTTTGTTTTGTGCCTCATTCTTCGCTCTCTGACTCGGAGAGTTACAAAACTCACCGAGTGCACGTTTTGTAATCGGTGAGCTCCGACCAATCAGAGAGCGGGACGCCGCGATCACGTGACCATAGTTTTTTTATTTATTTATTTTTTTATGTAACTCACTTTCGCTCGTCCGCTCCACGATGGCCGATAATACCACCACAGCAGTGTTTATGTTTAGTTTATTATAGTAATCGGGTCGCTGAGGAGGAAGAATCATGTCGCTGGAGGAGAAGCGGAGCGGAGCCCGGGCTCCGGAGGAGGAGGAGGCCCGGGCAGCGGACTTCTTCATACCGGTACAAAGCGAGGGCGAGTGGGGGGAGGACTCCAGCATGGATCCGCGAAACGTGATCCTGCGGAAGGCGGACGCTCTGGCCGCCCAGGACCGCCTGAAAGAGGCGATAGAGATGTTCTGCACGGCGCTGAGGCTCGAATCGGTCCGGCCGGAGCAGCTGGGCACCTTGGTGGACTGCATTGTGCGTGGTTACAGGAGGGGAGCCGGGGAGAGCGGAGCGGTTCTGCTCTGTCAGGGCTCCCAGGGTGGCCAGGACAGGGACGCGGACTGCGCGTTCGACTGTCCCGGCTGTCACAGGTTCATGGGGGAGCCTGTCACGGTGGGATGTGGGCATTCATACTGCAGGGGCTGCTTACACGGCGCGCTGTTGCCCAGGTGCCAGGTGTGCGGTGAGGACATGGACCTCATTAAACCCGGAGAAACCAAGCCCAACGTGGTTCTGAGTGCACTTCTGGAAAAGTGGTTCCCGGAGGAGGTGAGAAGAGCTAAGAGGGTCGGAGAAGCTGAGGCTCTACTGAGGAGCAGGCATTTAGACCAAGCTGCTGCTCTGGCCAGTGAACTGTTAGAGTCTGGTGAGTTGTTGTGATGATTATTAGTGTTATTTTACTCCTTATTCCTGAAATAAATCCACGTATATAGCATTTATTTCGTACTCTAGCGTTGGGAAAAACCCCCACGCGTGGACTTTTTTCCTGGGCTGAACAAAATTGCATAATTTATTCACATCGTCCGAGTTCCACTGACCAACATTTCGCCGAATAGCCCCGCCCATTGCTTTCCCGGATTCAAAACTCCGCCCACCAGCTCTTACAAAACGCGTACGCGCACGCATGCGCAAACCGGGAAAAGGTTGTATAAGGTGAAATTTTGTAACGTGGTGTGATGATCAAGCGTTTGCGTGCGTTATATCACGCATTGTGCTGTTTTGGAGAGATGAGGAGCCCGTGTTTGCCAGCATTGTGTTTATTAGGCCCACCTAATAGATATACACTGGATAATAGTGAATTATTAGGATGTATATATGTGTTATTAAGACCATGCATTACATTACATAATCAGAATATACACATTCACCTTCCACTCATTTACATTCACATACAGGAAAAACGAGGAAGAAAAGAAGAACTAAAGTGGCTAGTGCCTTATTCTAAATAAGACGTTTAAACTTCTTTTATTAGAAACACCTACCTTGTGCTTCCTCTCACTGGCCACTTTATTAGAAACGTCCAACTTGTGCTTTCATTCGCTGGCCAGTTTATTAGAAACACACACCTTGTTCATCCACTCACTGGCCACTTTATTAGAAACACCTACCTTGTGCTTTCTCTCAACGGTTAATGTATTAGAAACACCAACCTTGTGCTTCCACTGGCTGGCCAGTTTATTAGAAACACCCAGCTTGCGCTTCCACTCAATGGCCACTTTATTAGAAACACCCATCCTGTGCTTTCACTCACTGGCCACTTTAATAGAAACACCCAGCTTGTGTTTCCACTCATTGGCCACTTTATGAGAAACATATACCTTTTGTTTTCACTAACTGGCCAATTTATTAGAAACACCATACAGATAGGTGTAAGTTTAGGAAAATATTTATAGGACAGTTCCGTCGTCGCATATGCATACAGTAAAAAAGGAGGTCATGGGGTCACTTGAGGTCCAAACCACAGACCGTTCTAAAACAGCAATGTCATCTAACCCTTAGAAGTCTGATTAAGTTGAGAAAGCCAATTTACTGTTCTTAATCTTCTTATTCTTGTCATTACTGCTTTTTGCAAACATTCAGTTTACAGTAATTGTATGTAATTATAGGGGTGTCCTGATTTATTGAAAGGTAGTTAAATACAATTGGCTGCTACTGTATTTTCATGAACATCTTTACCCGAACACTGCAAATTATTCATCTCTCTGTCTTTCTCTGTTCCAGACCCCAATAATGTCAGATTGCGAGTTTGTCGAGGGGAGGTTTATCGGAGTCTGCGGCTCTATCACCAATCGCTGGATGACTGGGATATGTGTCTCAGCATCTCTCCATCTCTAGAGGTGAGATAGGTAGATAGATAGATCGATAGATAGATAGATCGATAGATAAGTAGTATGGGGTGTAACAATTCACAAAATTCAAAATTTGATTTGATATGATACACTTTTGTCTCGATTCTATGAATTTTCTGATACTGCGAAAATCGAAAATCAGGGGTGCCTGAAAATGTACCTCACACTGATGAGCTAATTTTTCAGTGCTCCATTTTCAGTTTATCACAACATCCTTTCATTATAAAATCACAATATCTGAAATTAAAGTTGTGCCCTGACTTAACACACGAGCCACAGCCTAAAATGTTAGCCCCAAGCTAACATACTATCCACAAGTTAATGTTATCCCTAAGCTAACACAATAGCCACAAGCTAACACGATAGCTACAAGCTAATATGTTAGGCCCAAACCAATATTCTAGCCACAAGCTAACATATTAGCCCCAAGCTAACACACTAGCAACAAGCTAATATGTTAGCTCCAAGTTACCACTCCAGCCACAAGCTAACATGCTAATTACAGTGTGGTGATATGGTATGGTACAGTTCAGCGGAGCCGGTTAGCATTATCTTAGCAGGCTACCAGCTCTGCTCACCACAGAACAGAGTTCTGTCTAAAAGAAGCTTTATTGACAGAAGTTTAGGTGATAATGACTCAATCTGAGGAGGCAAAGTCAAGCGGCTGGTGTTGAAGCTGAAATTAAATCTATCTTGTGGTGTTTGGAGCCTCCTAGCTAGGCTAATGCTAACTGGCTCCCCTAGCCTAGTTGGATTATCTGGTGTCCTGCAGATCCAAACACTGCAGTACAGGTTGGATTCGGTCCGCTCTGCTGATACAAGAGTAGATGATAAAAACTCACATCCTCACATTTGAGAGAGTGAAGTTGTGTGACTGGTGTTGGAGTGACAGAAAGCTAAAATCGAATGTTTTCTGTAATGTTTTGATCTGTAGCCTGCTGGGCTAGACTAGCATAACATTATTTTGCAGGCTAAAAGTTCCACCCAGTGCAGTCCAGGCTGGGTTCCAGACTCAAATAACATTTGTTTGGATGATAAAGACTCTGAGAGCACAAAATCGAGTGGCTGGTGTTGGAATGACCGCAAATCACATGTGTTCTGTAGCCTGTTAGCCGTTGTATGTGTATAGTTTGTCTTCTGTTCTGATTTAGCAGAATGGATAGGAGGCCTTAGATCGCTATACAAACCCCATATACTAGCCATACAATGGGTTTAATACACACACTTACAAAAAGATGGTTCTTCAAAGGTTTTTAGTACAGACAGTGGTTCTATATAGACGAATGAACACTCAAAGAATCATTTGGATGGAGAATGTGTTGTATGTGGTTCTGGTTCTGTATGTAGACTTTTCTGTTTCTGTTTTCTGGTCTGTTCCTCACTCTTACTCTGTTAGGCCGTTACTGGTAGTCATCACTTATCATTGCTCAGTTTAAGTACTTCTATCCGATGACAGGCTTTTTTCCCTTTTTGAGTCTTGGTTCTCTCAAGGGTTCTTCCTCTTGCTCTCAGGGAGTTTTTCCTTGGCATTGTTGCCATTAGCGACGCTCATGGGGGCTTGGACCCGGATTTTTTCTGTAAAGCTGGTTTGTGAAAGCGTAAACATATAAAAATAAACTGACTTCTGACTGGTTCTGTATAGCACCAAAAAGGCTTCTGCTATTGTTACAATGTCAAGCTTGTATACAGTAGAAGAATCTCCTACATAGAACCTCATACAGCACATTCTCCATCAATCTGAAGAACTATTTCACCATCTAAAGACCCTTCAAGCATGCAGGTGGTTCTTTTAGTGTTCACGGTTTTATATAGCACTGTTTTCTTTACTAAAGAACCCTTGAAGAGCCATCTTTCAAACATTTTCATGAGCTCAAACTTATTTGCACATTCTTTCTCTCTCTCTCTGTCTCTCTCTCTCTCTCTCTCTCTCTCTCTCTCAGGGTTATTACTGTAAGGCGAAGGTGCTGCAGGAGATGGGTAGAGTGGATGAGTCTCTGCAGCTCTTCCTGCAGTGTCTGGCTGTGGACGAGAACTTCCAGCAGGCCAAAGAAGAAGTGGAGAAGGTAGCATATCTTCTTTCCATTGTGAAACCTCGTTGGTTCTTTTCTGCTGAGTTTTGATCTCGTGTTGAACGCTGGTTGTTTTTTTCGTGCTGTGCAGACGCTGAATTACTGATTAACCCTCTGGGGTCTCAGGGCATTTTCTGGATCTTCTTAAACTCTCCTCTAAAGGCTCTTCATATATCATGATCCTCATATGTTTCATATCTAAATGCTCCGTTATCTTCATCACTACTTTCCAAAACCGCTGCAGCAGCTTCAGCAGCTGTAAACTCTCTGCACGCCATTTCACACGAGTCTCCAGTGTGGACTGAATGAAGAATGAAGGGTTTCCAGCGTGATGGTCAGTCCTTAGTGATTTCCTGAGTGTCCATTGGTCAGTTTTACACAGAATGTAGACGGACACACCAATCCACCAGTTCCCCACGGTGAGAGGCAGATGACGTGTATCACAGCCCCTCTTCATAGGCTCATAACTCCGGATGTTAGTGTCGTATGATCTCGTGATAAGATGGACTGGAAAGGGCGGCTCTACAGATTCAGGAACTGTTTGAACTGGATTTCTGAGCTGGATCATCACAAAGATACAGACACAGATATAGAGACAGAGGATTTGACCCACAGGCGAGTTTGTGGACCCCAGATGGTTAAAGCTGTTTAAATTCAAATTTAACAGTTGATTATGTGGTTTCTGAAACATGGACTACAGTATGTTAGCATATCTAAACACAGTAGCAGCATTTAGCAGCCTAAATATTGTCCACACTTTAGTCCAAGTTTACAGATAGCAGTGTCAGAAACCACACAGTTAAAGTCTATTAGAGATCACTAAACATCTGCACATGCTTTAAAGATTTAGGCGTGCAGTTAGCACCCTGCTAATTGGTAGGGTATCAGTTTTGCTTTGTTAGCTCCTTTAGAATGTCTTGGCTGATCCGCTGCGTTTGAGATAAGGGGGTAAATTTGATTTTTGGCTGTTCACACTGGTCTTCCTGCACTTTTAGCACAGTCCCATTATAGACCAACACAACAGTCACACTGAACAGGAAACTCTGAATTTGAACAGTCAGCTGGTCTGAGCACTGTTGCATAAAGTCTGTCGCTCTGACACACTCTGTTTGTTTTCACACCCCGTTAGGCCAAGGGTCGGCAACATGCGGCTCTTTTACTGCCCTGTTGTGGCTCCACAGCAGAATCAGATTTGTAGGTAAAAATAAAATAATCCTCCTTTACAGTAAAATAAAGCTCTGCTGATCGTTCAACACAGTTTAACAATAAATGGTCTTAAACTCTGGAGTTAATGTAGAACTGCTAATTCACCCTTTAACCCTGAAGATCAGCACAAACTGCTGGTCACCATAGCAACACAGACAACAAGCTAGTAGCTAATGACAAGACATTGATAATTTGGAGACGAATGGACTTTTATAATCACTCCAGCTGGTTTCCTGATACGTTTAATCTGCAACGAGAGACTGTCAAACACTAAAAAGTCGCGAAGCAGACATCGCTTCTCATTCGCCAGCTTCTTGTTCTAATTGTCCCGTTCCACCTTAAAAGGTGTAACAGTTACATTCTGGCACCTCAGGTACCGTTTAAGGTGGAACAGGAACATTCTAACAAGAAGCTGGCGAATGAGAAGCGACTTCAGTCTCGTAAAAAGTCGAACGTTGAGAGACATTTTACAAGAAACTGTTCTACTTTTGAGGAAAAGTTTCCTGCTGGAGATGCGAGAAAAGCAGCTATATCTGAGCTAAAGCTTAAAGCAGAGTGAAGTACGTCTGTGTTTTCATTTATATTATATTTTTTAGCCTATATTAGCTCATTAGCACGTACTGAGACACATTTACAGCCAAGATGGTAAAATGGACATAAAATGTTGTGGATCCCAAGGACAAAATGGCTCCTCTTAACATTTGTGTTGCTGACCTCTGCATTAGGACATGGGGTCATACACATGTCATGCCCTCGGGTCCATCTAGGCATTCAGAGCGTGCACTGGTGAAATGAAAATAAAAGAAGTCTTCGATTTTAGTGTATTTTTAAGAATAGTCTCATCAATATCATGATGAATATCATGTATCATGAAAATGTCTTGGAGTATCATATCGTCCACCACATTATAAAGACATTTTTGTCCATAAAAATATACAAAAACAAACCCCCACACACAGAGGCTGCTGTGGGAACAGAGTTTTAGATCTTTGTAATCAAATTAGATGAGTTTCTTCTTGTGGGTGAAGCTGTGTGACTCTGTGTGTTTGTGAGTAACGTGAGCTGAAAACGCTCTTTTCGTCTGGTTTGATCTGGTTTTATTTCTGTGGAATGCGGGACTTAAATAGATTCAGTCTTTCATGCATTCATGCTGTTTCTGACTGATGTAACAGGTGAGTTCAGGTGATTTCCATAAACAATCCAGCAGAAGCAGCTGCACAGCTACAGTAAACACATTAATGCATTAATGAGTTTTCTAATGTTAAGATTTCCAATATACATCACACATCAGTACATACAGTACTGTGCAAAGTCAAAGCCCCCCTTCATTTATTCAGCATCTATTCAGATATCATATTCATACTTCATATTTCTGAGGCAAGACAAGTTTATTTATATAGCACCTTTCACACTGCTGTCGTTCAAAGTACTTTACTGAGTCAGAAGATACAGAGTTGTTTAAAAAAGTAAACACTAGTAGAAAAACAATTAAAAACAGCATTAAAAACATATTTAAAACATGATTAAAACAATACATTTAAAAGAGGAAAGAAAATAAAGAAAATGCTGTTAGAGTAGAAAAGGGGAGGGGATTCGAAAAAAGTGAAAAGGTTCCAAGTTTCCAAAACTGGAGTTCAAAAATATAAAAGCTATAGAGGAAATGAGGCTCCTAACAACCACCTGGAAGGCCACCAAAGCTTTCCCCATCAGATGAACAGCACTTCAAGCGGCCCATATCCAACATAGTTTTCCTTTTTTTATTTTCCACAGTCTTTTTTTTTAATTTGTGTGGTGTTGTGTAACAAAAAGAGATAAAATTGATTTTTTCAAAAAGCAGTCTGGGCTGAAACACTCCTTATGTCTTCATCCTGAATTGGTGGATATAGGTTAAAATGTCAATGTCCAGTGGACACAAGTCACTTTCTTAACATCACAAGAACAGTTCATTCAAAACGAGTTGTGTTCGCAGCGTAGATTCCATGTTATCCTAATTAAATTAAATTAAATTAATTTCATTTAAAGTTTTAATCATGTTTTTAATTTCTGTTCTCCTTTACCTTTTAAATGACTGTATTTTCTCATTTGTAGAGCATTTTGAATGACAGCAGTGGATGAAAGATGCTATATAAACAAACTTGCCTTTATGGACTGCAGAGTGAAACGTTAAAATTTTTTTAAGTCGTCTTACAAAAGTGCAAGAAAATTCTTTCCGCTTGATCTGTCCTCTTAAAGCTTTCATCTCTGAGAGAGAGGAGAAAATCAAGCTGCTTCAGATCTGAAAACATCCACAGGTGTTTCTGTCCATCCTTCCACTGTGAGAAGACGACTCAGCGCTGTGGGTCTGAAAGGATGTGTAGCTGACCAAGAAGAACCTCACTGAGAAAAGGAGACGGACACATCAAACAAAGAAGCTGAACGATGGACTGACCACCCCAGAGTCCAGACCTCGACACCACTGTGTTTGGGAATCCCTGGTGGTGGCTAAGGTGTTGCCAGGCTGTTGCTATAGTCTCCCAGGTGGTTGCTTAGGTGTTTGCTAGGCCATAGGGTTTAAATGATTTGCACATCATTGCTTTCTGTTTTTATGTACATTTTACACAGTATCCCAACAATTTGGGAAACGGGGTTCTATATAGAACCATTGTTTTTACTAAAGAACCCATGAAGAACCATGTTTTTTTAATCATCTTTTTTAACATCACTGAATGCATTTAGAAATCTCAGATGGTTGCTAGGATGTTGCTAATCCATGATTATGGAGTCCCAGGTGGTTGCTAAGGTGTTGCCAGGATGTTGCTGTAGTGTCCCAGATGGTTACTAAGGTGTTGGTATTGTATCCCAGGTGGTTGTTAAGATGTTGCCAGGCCATTACTCTAGAATCCCAGGTGGTTGCCAAGGCATTGCTAGGCCATTATTGTGGAATCCCAGGTGGTTGCCAAGGTGTTACTTGGCTGTTGCTATGGTATCCCAGGTGGTTGCCAAGATGTTGCTAGGCCATTACTCTAGAATCCCAGGTGGTTGCCAAGGCATTACTAGGCCATTATTGTGGAATCCCAGGTGGTTGCCAAGGTGTTACTTGGCTGTTGCTATGGTATCCAAGGTGGTTGCTGAGATGTTGCTAGGCCATTACTGTGGTATCCCAGGTGGTTGCCAAGGTGTTGCTAGGGCAGTGGTATTACTTGGATCCCAGAAGGAGAAAATGGTCAACCAACTTCTAAGACTGAACTGTAGAGGTGTGTCTGCAGATTTCTTTTCAGCAGAAAACTTCAGGTGCAGGATGATGCAGCTGTTTTGATCAAACACTCTGTAGTGTGTTTTCTCAGTGGATCCAACAGTGCCTGTATCTGTATCCCACTCTTCTATCTCTGATCTGTTTTCCTTTTGTTTCTTTCCTCTCTGGCAGATCCTCCATGACCTGCTGTCTCCGGCGTGCGAGAGCATGCAGGCCAGTCTGAGGGAAACTAAACCCTCAGCTCACCTGCGCAGTAAAGCCACGCTGTTAGACGCTCAGGTGAACACTAACACTCACCCTGCTTCCATTGACTCACCACCCGAGTCCAGTGAGGTAAACATCCACATCTACATCTATATTTTTGTCAATTTTTGCTTTTGTATATCAGTTGAAGCCCATTCCCACTACTAATCTAGCACCTAATTATTTTTTTCATTTTACAGTGAATTGCTGTGCCATTGTTTTGCAATACTAAGTCATTATTCTGAAATACTGTCTCATTATTCTGAGATGCATTCTGATTATTTTCAGAAGCTTTTCCATTATTTATATTTAAATACGTACTTATATTTATTTGTACTTTAATCTCAAACGTTTAAAGTGTCTCAAAAAAACAAGTAAGTTTCTCAAAATATTGAGAAAGCATCTCAGAATAATGAGTTTCTCAAAATAATGTATCTCAGAAAAATGATTTGGTATCACAAAATAATGATCCAGTATTGCAAAATAATGACTTATCATCTCAGAATAATGAGAGTATCTCAAAATAATGACTAATCATCGCAAAAAAATGATATAGCATCGCAAAATAATGAGATAGTATCGCAAAATAATGACTTAGCATCTCAGAATAATGATAGTATCTCAAAATAATGAGTTAGCATCACAAAATAATGACTTATCATCTTAGAATAATGAAATAGTATCGCAAAATAATTGCATAGCAATTCACTTAATATTGGAAAAATCATATTTAGGTGCTGGATTTTTTTTTTTATTTTATGTGGAAATGGGTTTCCGTACAGCCGTCCTTTATGTTGTGTAAAAATTTTTTGACATATGGACCGTTAGAAATGCTCCAAATACAAATGCTCTTGGAATAAAACTTATTACATTGACTTACATTAAATGTTAAGACCCTTCTTGCCTTCTCCTGGGAAGTTAACATTTTGGAGATAATTGTTTTTATGTTTTGTTTTTTGAACACCAACGCTTTGTAAGACTGATTGACCCTTTGGAGTTTCATGCTATTGTTGTTTTACATTTCCTTTATACTGCATAATTATCAAATTTAATTGCATAGTGATACAACTTGTTTCACAACAAACTACATCGATATTTGAAATACATTCTAGAATGTAAGGACTGTAAACACAATACCTTTTCATCAAATTCACATCTGCTGTTTTGTGTCCGTTTCATCCATCAGCTATCCTCTGGTCAGAAGCTCGGCCGGTCAGAGAGTTTGGAGCGGTCAGGCTTGAGCCGAGCTCACTCCTTGAGGGCGCACCCACTGGGCGGTGCCAGGGAGGAGGGGCTAAAGAGGGTGTTCTCTGCCCCTCAGCTGGGTGACCAGGAAAAGGGGGCGTTACTAAAAAGGAAACTGTCTGGCTCAGAGGCGGGGCCAGGCCTGGTCAACACACACAGCAGCAAACACAAAAAACAAGGAGGTGAGTCACCAGTTTCAGAACTGGTGGGGCACTACACAGGTATAGCGTAACCATGGAAATGATTAAAGCGTAACTATGGAAATGGGTATAGTGTAGCCATGGAAATGGGTGTAGTGTAACCATGGAAATTGGTGTAGTGTAACCATGGAAATGGGTATAGAGTAACCATGGAAATGATTAAAGCGTAACTATGGAAATGGGTATAGTGTAGCCATGGAAAAGGGTGTAGTGTAACCATGGAAATTGGTGTAGTGTAACCATGGAAATGGGTATAGAGTAACCATGGAAATGGGTATAGAGTAACCATGGAAATGGGTGTAGTGTAACTATGGAAATGGGTGTAGACTAACCACAGAAATGGGTGTAGTGTAACCATGGAAATGGGTGTAGTGTAACCATGGAAATGGGTGTAGTGTAACCATGGAAATGAGTGTAGTGTAACTATAGAAATGGGTGTAGTGTAACTATGGAAATGGGTGTAGTGTAACTATGGAAATGGGTGTAGTGTAAACATGGAAATTGGTATAGAGTAACCATGGAAATGGGTATAGTGTAACTATGGAGATGGGTGTAGACTAACCATGGAAATGGGTGTAGTGTAACCATGGAAATGGGTGTAGACTAACCACAGAAATGGGTGTAGTGTAACCATGGAAATGGGTGTAGTGTAACTATAGAAATGGGTGTAGTGTAACCATGGAAATGAGTGTAGTGTAACTATAGAAATGGGTGTAGTGTAACCATGGAAATGGGTGTAGTGTAACTATGGAAATGGGTGTAGTGTAACTATGTAAATGGGTGTAGTGTAACCATGGAAATGGGTGTAGTGTAAACATGGAAATTGGTATAGAGTAACCATGGAAATGGGTATAGTGTAACTATGGAGATGGGTGTAGACTAACCATGGAAATGGTTGTAGTGTAACCATGGAAATGGGTGTAGACTAACCACGGAAATGGGTGTAGTGTAACCATGGAAATGGGTGTAGTGTAACTATGGAAATAAGTGTAGTGTAACCATGGAAATGGGTGTAGAGTAACCATGGAAATGGGTGTAGAGTAACCATGGAAATGGATGTAGAGTTACCATGGAAATGGGTGTAGTGTAACCGTGGAAATGGGTGTAGTGTAACTATGGAAATGGGTGTAGTGTCGTATAACCATGGAAATGAGTGTAGTGTAACTATGTAAATGGGTGTAGTGTAACTATGTAAATGGGTGTAGTGTAACCATGGAAATGGGTGTAGTGTAACCATGGAAAAGGGTGTAGTGTAACTATGGAAATGGGTATAGTGTCGTATAACTATGGAAATGGGTGTAGTGTAACTATGGAAATGGGTGTAGTGTAACTATGGAAATGGGTGTAGTGTCGTATAACCATGGAAATGGGTGTAGAGTAACCATGGAAATGGGTATAGTGTAACCATGGAAATGGGTGTAGTGTAACCATGGAAATGGGTGTAGTGTAACCATGGAAATGGGTGTAGTGTAACTATGGAAATGGGTGTAGTGTCGTATAACCATGGAAATGGGTGTAGAGTAACCATGGAAATGGGTGTAGTGTAACCATGGAAATGGGTGTAGTGTAACCATGGAAATGGGTATAGAGTAACCATGGAAATGGGTATAGAGTAACCATGGAAATGGGTGTAGTGTAACCATGGAAATGGGTGTAGTGTAACCATGGAAATGGGTATAGAGTAACCATGGAAATGGGTGTAGTGTAACTATGGAAATGGGTATAGAGTAACCATGGAAATGGGTATAGAGTAACCATGGAAATGGGTGTAGTGTAACTATGGAAATGGGTATAGAGTAACCATGGAAATGGGTGTAGTGTAACCATGGAGTCAGTACACAGCAGTGTAAATGTAATGAATGTTGTTAAATGTGTTAAGCTGCATTATTATTACTAGCATTAGTGTTTACATTAGCTGTGACATGCAAGAAAAAGTCTCTCTCTCTCTTCCTGCTCCGTAGCGATGGCCTCCGCAGCCCTGGCGGTCAGTGAGGAAACCGAACCCAGTTGGACCGTGCCAAGGGACCTGCTGGACCCCAACGACTTTGAATGCCCGCTGTGTATGAGGTATAATCAAATGAGATTACAAATCACATTTAGACTTTAACACACCTGAATCTAATTAACACTCAGACTTAGAGCAGGCAGTTATTATGAACCAAATCCATGAGTCTTTGTTTCTGTTGTGAACAGTAGACTAGTAGGCTGCATCATTAATGGACACTAGTTAACATTTTTGTGCTATCTCGGTTCTAGACTGTTCTATGAGCCAGTGACAACGCCTTGTGGACATACATTCTGTAAGAACTGTCTGGAGCGCTGCCTGGACCACAGCCCGCAGTGTCCACTCTGCAAAGAGAGCCTCAAAATGGTGAGAATCCCACATGATTTTGTATCAAATAATGTCACTTAGAGCTTATTTTAAAGCAGTCATTTTATATAAAGATATAAACTTTATATGTAAGTTTTTTCCCGTTTACTCCAAATATAGCCAATCAGCCAAAACATGTTTGGTGTCTGAAGTTTGTTTCTTTAGTTTTTGCTGTGGAGCTGCGATGCTAATGTAGCAAACAAGTAATAGGAGCTTTTACCCCAACAATTAGCTTCACACAGTGATGTTGTTTAGTCCTTGTTTACAGTGTCAGAAACCACATGATCAAGACTATTAGAGATACTGAAGACCTCCACACGGTTTGAGGCGAGTGTGTGGTGATTTAGACGTACAGTTAGCTCTATGCTAACTGGTGGGTAAAGCCAAAGTCCTTATAGGAAGGTCTTTTCACTCGATGGCCATCTTTGCAGCACCGCCAGGCAGTTATTTCCAGCCATACAAGACCAGACTCCTCTCTCTCTCTGAATGAGGAGAGACCAAAATGCTCGAAACTGAAGGTCAAGCTACTGTCTCAAAATCATATTTAAAATCTGACAATCTGACAAAAACTTAATGACGGTTTCTCAGGATGTTCTGGCTACTGCACACTTGCATATCTCCACAACGAGGCGGGGGGTGACGCTTTTCCTGCTAGCGCCACAATATCGTCGACACTTCTTCGTCTGCGGTGTAACAGGCAAGCTGATTGGCTCTTTTTCCTGAAAGGCGGAACTTTTTTTCTATAAACAGGCGCCATGTTGAGCATTATAAGCGTTCCCATTTATATTCCAACCAGTGATGGATTTCTTCATTTATAATGTCTCTGATTAAAAATGAATAACTCTGTAGCTACGTTAGCCTCTTAGCTACAGTACAGGAATAATGAAGCAAACTTCAGACACCACGTCTTGACTGATTGACAACATTTAGGCTTAAGGGGGGATTAGATCTTACTGAACTATCACTTTAATAAAACCTTTGTCAGGTTAAAAATGTTTGATGTCATAAAGCAGCTAAAGGGAAAATGTGCTTAGCCTGCTTTGATATGGGTATTTAAATCAATACTCTCTCTCTCTCTCTCTCCCCAGTATCTTGCCTCTAGGAAGTACGCTATCACACAGGTTCTAGACGACATTATTAAGCAGTACCTGTCTGAAGAGCATGTTGGGAGACAAAAGCTTCACACTGAGGAAACTAAAGAGCTGTCAGAGTAAGAGGATGTTCAGATGTTCAGCCTATAGCAGTTTGGCCCCGCCCATTCAGCCTACAGCAGTTTAGCTCCACCCATTCAGCCTACAGCACTTTAGTCCCACCCATTTATCCTACAGCAGGTTGGCCCCACCCATTAAACCTACAGCAGTTTAGCCCCACCTGTTCACAGTGAAGTTAAAGTGTTTCAGCCCAGACTGTTTTTCAAAAAAGTACAGCGCATCCAATCAGAACAGATCTCATTTACATATATCAGTCTTAAAGACAGTAACAAAAACAGCCTATTTAAGACAGTTTTTGGTTATGAGTGGACATCAGGGGGCAAAATGAAGTGAAAATATGCAGGATATGGGCTTTTAATAACGACAGATATTTTTTCGTGACTAAAAATGCTCCATTTGTCGGTGTTTCTGTCTCCGTTTCTCCTCCAGTCTGCAGAAGAACGTTCCTATCTTCGTGTGCACTATGGCCTACCCCACTGTGCCTTGCCCGCTGCACGTGTTTGAGCCGCGCTACCGCCTGATGATCCGCCGCTGCATGGAGACGGGAACGCGCCAGTTCGGCATGTGCATTAATGATGCCCAGAAAGGGTGAGGGCACGAGCACACAGCCCATCGAAAGTTTAGGGACACCTTTCCTTTTATAAGAAGGAAATAAGTTCAGTGGCATTTTCCTCACCTTGCTATGATGAGCAGGTTTTAAATAATGATTGGACAGTTTTCTTTGTCAAATTCTTGTTAAAAGCTCATATTGAAGCTCTTTTGGTCCAAAGCTAAGGATAAAAGATGGGCCTTGACAATGATGTTGTTTTCTCTCTAAATAAACCTAAATGGGCTTTAATATGGTCCGTTATTGTAAAACTAAACAAGAAAACATGATCTTTTGTATTAAAATGGTTTTTTAATGTGTTCTTCCTCTCCAGCTTTGCCGATTACGGCTGCATGCTCCACATTCGGAGCATCCACTTTCTGCCGGATGGTCGCTCTGTGGTCGACACCATAGGAGGGAAACGGTTCAGGGTTTTGAGCCGCAGCATGAGGGATGGATACTGCACCGCTAACATAGAGTACCTGCAGGACCAGCGGGTGAGACACAATCACACTACACAAACACAGTATAGTTATATTTCAGCTATATAGTTATATGGTACACACCGACCAGGCATAACATTATCAGCACCTCCTTGTTTCTACACTATGGATGATATACACTGATCAGGCGTTACATTATGACCACCTCATTGTCCATTTTATCAGCTCCACTTACTATATAGTTGCCCTCTGTAGTTCTACAGTTACAGACTGTAGTCCATCTGTTTCTCTGCATACTTTGTTACCCTGTTCTTCAGTGGTCAGGACCCCCATGGACCCTCACAGAGCAGGTACTATTTGGGTGGTGGATCATTCTCAGCACTGCAGTAACACTGACGTGGTGGTGGTGTGTTAGTGTGTGTTGCGCTGGTACGAGTGGATCAGACACAGCAGTGCTGCTGGAGTTTTTAAACACTGTGTCCACTCACTGTCCACTCTATTAGACACTCCTACCTTGTCAGTCCACCTTGTAGATGTGAAGTCAGAGACGATAGCTCATCTGCTGCTGCACAGTTTGTGTTGGTCATCCTCTAGTCCTTCATCAGTGGTCACAGGACGCTGCCCACAGGACGCTGTTGGCTGGATATTTTTGGTTCTCAGTCCAGCAGTGACACTGAGGTGTTTAAAAACTCCAGCAGCACTGCTGTGTCTGATCCACTCACACCAGCGCAACACACACTAACACACCACCACCACGTCAGTGTTACTGCAGTGCTGAGAATGACCCACTATCCAAACAGTACCTGCTCTGTGAGGGTCCATGGGGGTCCTGACCACTGAAGAACAGGGTAACAAACCATGCAGAGAAACAGATGGACTACAGTCTGTAACTGTAGAACTACATGTATGGTCAGGCTGATAAGATGGACGTAGAACAGTGCAGGTACTGAAGGTGTGCTTGTTTGTTTGCAGGTAGTAGATGAGGATGAGCTGGACCGTCTGCAGGATCTGTATGATCAGGTTTATAATCAGGCCAAGGTTTGGTTCCACACGCTGGAGAACCGATTCAGGAACCAGATCCTGCAGCACTTCGGCCAGATGCCAGACAGAGAGGCTGATATACAGGTAACACACTAACACAAACTCAAACTCCCATTATGTCAGAATTCACTTTGCTGAACATTTTTAATACTTCAGTAATTAACCCTTTAAAGCCGACGCAAAAGTGGCTGTTTCTGCTTCTTTTCTCTGTTAATAATCTGATTTCTCACCACTGATGTTGCATTTATTCGACATCTAAAGATCTAACAGTGATAAAAATTAGCATTTTTTTTATCCAGTTTGTCTTGCAAACCACATTTTTGAACAGGGAATGTAAGTCACACATCTGTTGGACTTTGTTTCTCTAATTAAACACAACACTGTAATAAGCTTCACTCCAAACGAGCTCACATATGAATAGTGATAAGAAACATGGTAATTCACAGAAAAGCTCTGGTTCTATGTGCTGAAATCAATAACATGATTTTACAGCCTGGAAGCGGACCCACCAGCCTCATGTGGCTCAATCAGTTTAACTAATTTAATTGCTTAAAAATTCATTTTATATGTAAACTTACAGTTAAACAAGCTTTTGTCATAACTTAACATAAATATGATTTATGGGTGCTACCATACAATTAAAACGTCAAATAATTATTAATAATTATTAGAAAATTAAATAAGCTTTTGTTAATGCTTACGATAACAACTTTTAAATAAGATAAATAATGTAAAATTAAAAGGATAAATTATGCTGCTGTCATTTTTGATTAAAACAATTTTATCAGAATTGTTATTCTAAGGTTTAAAAGGTAATATAAAATTAAAAGGATAATAGATATAAAATAATGCATACAAAATTATGCATGTGTTATTTTTTGTTTTAGGTTTTAAAAATAAATATAAAATATATAAAATAATGAATATAATGAATGAATAATGAATATAAATGTAATAATATAAATAAATGTAAAATAAAATAATGAATCTTAAATTTTGGGCATATTTTATTTTTTGTTTTAAGTTTTAAAAGTTAATATAAAATTAAGAGTAGAAATTATTAATAGGAAATTCAGCATCTTTTATCATTATTGGTTTTTGTTGTTTTTTTGTTCTGTTTGTCATTGTTATTTTAAGGGTTAAAAATGAATGTAAAATTAAAAAGAAAGCATCTTTTTTTTTCCTATTATTTAAAGATTCAATATTTAATATATAGTTAAGGTAGTGATAATGTTATGCTTTCCTTAGAAATATTATTAAAAATTAAAATATCATCCTTATCTTTGTTATATAGGTGTGATTTATAAGAGTTAACTGTGTCTGTTTCCTCCTCCAGGCGACCCCGAACGGTCCGGCGTGTTGCTGGTGGCTGCTGGCCGTTCTGCCGGTGGACCCTCGCTATCAGCTCTCTCTGCTCTCCATGACCACCCTGAGAGAGAGACTCGTCAAAATACAGCACATCCTCACCTACCTGCAGAACACACACACCGAGTAGTGCTCACACACACACAGCACTGTGCAAAAGTTTTAGACCCCTGAGAAAATCAGAGGAAGCTGTTTATCTGGGCTATCTGCTATAAAAGCACTAATATTAGCATAAATGCAAATTTTATGTATGTCAGTGTGTTTGTTTAACCCTTTCCTGCCCTCTCCTCGAGAAAGGTCAGGAAGTTGGGAATGCAGAAATTTTAAGCCACGTTAATGTGACGCTAACGACGACGTCACGCAGGATCATTTGCCTTTTTTCCATTGTTTTGGTAATTTACATCAAACAGAATGTCATGCTGCATTATAGTTAGGCGTGATGCGTATGGAGTCAACTTTTGCCAAAAGTGTCAAATAAAATAATAAAATCCACAAACAAACAGCAACAAAAGCTTCCAAACTATGTCGCAAATACAATAGGAGTTAAATCAGACTTAATTTTTTCAGAAAGATTACATTCATTTTCATTCATTTTGAAATAAATGTCAGCCGTTTCTTGAAAAAACAAAAATGAAGAAGCGCTGCAGAGGTCGCAAAGATGAAGCAAAAGGACAGGCGCTCCTGGGGCATGGGTGCCGCAGACTCAAAATAACAGTCCCATGCTGGGAGTGACAAAAAAACAGAAAATCCATCTGCATCCACAAAGCACATGCAGAATAAATCCCAGAGCAAAGAAAATCCTGAGCACACCGTCCTCAGAGAAGTATAAATAGCCTTTATTGAAACATGGCAAGGTGTATAAAAATGTGCCGATGCATTGCAGCATATCAATATCAATTATCAATTGATGTGATATTTTGTGTCCTGCACATTTTTTTTACATATTGCCATATTTTATACATATTTTGAGTAATCTGGTTACTTACTTTACTTTTTCTGTTTGCTAAGGAGCCCTGCTGGTGACCTCCCAGATCAATAATGCATGGCCACGCTGTATTAACTCGTGGGAACGAGGTCCTAATGTGTGGCCACGACTTTGTAAGGCATGGGAACAAGATCATGCCTTACTAAGTTGTGGCCACGCATTATTTTTATTTGCTCAGGATGTCACCAGTTTGCTGATGTTGCTGATATTTTTTGCTTCTGAAATCTTTAATTTGCTTCTGACTTTTGGCACATTTTCACAGGGGGCGGGGCTCAGAACAGGGCGCTCACCTACACACACGAAATGCGACAGAAGAGCGAATCCAGAAGCAAAAATATATCAGCAAATTTAAAAAAGCAAAAGGCATAATACATTAATATTAGAATGAGTGAAAATGGATAGTAATCTTTTTTTAAAAATTAAGTTTTGCTTGTGGATTTTATTTTTTCATTTAAACATTCGGCGCAAAATTGATGACGACAATAGATAAATGTGTAAACATAACTGACACGTCAGACCACTGATGCACATCAGCTCATTCCTAATGCCACTTTATGCAAACGAGCTGAGGGTGAACCAGTCAGATTGCTGAGGTGTGGTGCTGCAACTGATTGTGTCACGTCTGCAGTCACACAGTGGGGTTTAGCACACTGAGTGGGAGATATAATGGTTGCTAAAACGTTATTATTATGTTAGATGATTCTTTTTAAAGTTTAAAAGTGTTAAGCTGCTTTGGCTTCCATCTCCGCACACGTTTTCACTCTTTGCACCTCAGCCTGCATGTTTTAGTGTCTCGCTGTGATGTAAATACAGCGTGAAACACTGCAGTTACTGCAGGTTTTAAATTATATGATTTTTTTTTCCTTTGCTAGAAAAGTTCAGATCTCTGTGGTTATTACTGTTATTAGCAGTTGCAGCCCTGAAATCAGCCCCCTCAGTCCCCCCACTTTCCGCGTCTCTGAAGCCCAGTATTAATCAGAGTGATCATCCAGTACCTGCTTTATCTGATCAATACTTCATTATGTTAAATCAGGAGCTGCTGATGGAACTGAACAAAGTCCTGTGGTGGTCAGGAAACGAATCTGTGTTCCTCTTTGTTCTTCTTATTTACATATTCATAACTTGACTGAAATCAGCACATTCTGACTCCTGACTGTGTTTATGTTTATTTATGTTTATTTTAATGATAAATAGTGTTAAATCAAACTTTAAGCCCAGATAAACAGTTAAAACCGTTTCTGCGGCTAAAACTTCTGCGCGGTTCTGTATATTAATGGAAATAATCGGACGCTCATTGGATTCACCGTCACTGACTCACTTTCTGTCGTCTCTCTTTTCATCTCTCTCTTTTCCCACTCAGTCTCCTTTTCTCGCTTCCTCTGTCTCTTTTTCCCCTTTCATCTCTCTCCCCACACTTTCTCATCTCTTTCTCTTTTTTTATCCCTCTTTTCTTTTGTCTCAGTCCCTTTATCTCTCTTCTTTTCTTACTCTGTTTCTTTTCTCTTTCTCCCTCTCCCTCTTTTTCTTTCCCAGTGCTTCTCTTTTTTTTATCGCTCGTCTTCCTTTCTTTCTCTTTTCTCCTCTCTCTCTCTCTCTCTCTCCCTCGCCCTCTCTCTGTCTCTCTCTCTCTCTCTCTCTTTCTCTCCCTCTCTCTCTCTCTCTCTCTGTGTTCTGAGTGAAACAGAATCCTAAATGCTGATTGTTTGTTGTCTCTGAATCTGATGGACTTTTTTCTGTTTGTAATGTTTTTATTTAATCAAAATGCAAATGATGGAATGGGAAAATCCGTCTCTCAGTTTATTCTACTGAGAGAGAGGGAGTGTGTGTGTGTGTGTGTGTGTTTTAGCGCACTCGAGTTACTTTCATATCACCGGAGCGGAAGGAAAAAAACATGCACGATCCCTCGATCCCGTTTTCCTTCACCTCTCTGTTCCCGCAGTTGCACTAATCAGAACTTCCACAAGAGAGCGCTGTTATTCAAGACCGCAGTATTAAAGGGCAATTCCACCATTTTTCCACAATTTCCCCATAATTCAGTGTGTGAGGTGTAAACAGAGAGATTCAGAGTGGTTTGGTGTGAAATGGTTCAGATGACTTTACAGTGGTGGTGATAGGAACCAGGGGTCGCCATGACTACAACACAAATATAGACATTTTATTTACTATCCAGAACCACCAGTGAACCTACACGAGTCTTCTGAGTTTATATGGAATGTTGATGACAGTAAAGCTATTTAATTATTTTAAAAATGTCTTAAAAAAATGTTCAAAACTATCATAAAACAGTGTCTCAGTCATCAGGCAGTGAATTCATAACCATTTCATGTAGTAACTTTCTGTGAGGGAGCTTTTAGAGGTGGATGTCTGGTTCCTATCACCACCACTGTGAACAGTTCTGACTCGGTAAGTTTATCTAGAACAGAGCTCTGGACAACTTTGTCTTAACCATTTAATTATTCAGAAATTGTTGAAAATGTGGTGGAATTCCCCTTTAACTGTTTATTGAAGCCTAAAGTTCCCATATCTGTAAAAGCTTCTGTGACTGAAATGAGTTTTTGGAGCGTATTTGTGTAAATATACTGGCAGTTTGAACAGAGCAGTACTCTGTGAAGTCTGTACGCTGCCTCAGCGAGTGGACGCACTAACTTTGCCTTATTAAAACCATTCTGCATTCTGCTTATGTGGCATAATGCACTGGCTTCGAGGTTTTTGCATTTGTATTTCAAATTCCTTTTGTGTATGTGTACAGTTTATGAAAGAATGACTCGGCTGTATGCAAATCAGTGTTTTGGGGAGGAAATTATTGTTGTTTTTTTACAGAACTGTGCTTTTTTGCTTGAATATTTATGTTGTCAATTTTAAATTAAAATAAAATTGAATTTAAAAACTACTCTCTGGCTGACAGCCTGCGCTGCTGAGTTTGTCCACCGAGTGGCGCCAGATCGGCGCAGTTTTACCTCTGCAGCTCTGCCTGAAAACAAAGCAAGCAGAACACCACTCTTAGCCACAAAAACATTTATTTATTTAATGTTTTAAACATATTTAGCAAGTTAAATGTGCTCTATATGCAGTGTAGTGGTTGAATGCTTCATAATTTATCAACTCAAAGCCAAAAAGTCTTGGACGGTCCCCGAAATGCAGCTATCGAGCCAACAGCATCATTACAAACTCTGCAAGAAAACAAAACAAGACACAGTTAAAATGATCAACAGCAGAAAACTTAACAATAACACAGTCAGGCTGTTAATGAATTAAGTCCACACTGGATGATTCATTATTAAATCTAAAACAGCCCCAAAGATGTTTTAAAAGGAGAATAAATTTGTTTACATCAGCCTTTTATATCTCAATGTTAATTATGTTCTGTTTTATTGTCTTTAAAGTTTGGATATACAGTAGCAAATATGTCTATTTTATTAATATGTCATACTTATGGAATTCTGGTAACACCAGAGCAACACTGAAATTATTATTGCAATCTAATTATAACATTTACATTGATATTATTATTTTATGCTAATTATCTTAACTTATTCTAATTATAACGTTAATGTAAATTGAACATATTTGGGAAAAAATAAACCCTAAAATGTGGCCTGTGAAAACATGATGACATATTTTATATTTTATGTTTTCCCAGTGCATTTAATAATGGGGTGCAATGGGGTGCGAAAACTTGCACACCCAGCTTATTACGTTGATAGAAATCCATTAGTAACACTTTATTTCCCATGTAGGGTTCACTACTGGCAACACCCTAGCAACCACCTGGGATACCACAGAAACCACCCAGCAACACACTAGCAACCTCCTGGGATACCATAGCAACCGCAATGCAACACCCTAGCAACCATTGGGAAACCAAAGCAACCACATAGCGAACCCTAGCAACCACCTGGAATACCATAGAAACGGCATAGCAACACCCAAGCAACCACTTAGGATACCATAGCGTCCACATAGCAACACCCTAGCAACCACCTGGGATATCATAGCAATCACATAGCAACTACCTAGCAACCACCTGGGATATCATAGCTACTGCAGAGCAACATCCTAGCAACCACCTGGGATACCGTAGCAACCACATAGCAACACCCTAACAATCTTCTGGAATACCATAGCAACTGCTAGCAATACCCTAGCAACCATCAGGGGAACCATAGCATCTGCATAGCAACACCCTAGCAACCACCTGGGATACCATAGCAACCTTCTGGAACACCACAGCAACTGCTAGCAATACCCTAGCAATCACCTGGGATACCATAGCATCCGCATAGCAACACCCTAGCAACCACCTAGGATACCATAGCAACTGCATAGCAACACCCTAGGAATACCCTAGCAACCACCTGGGATACCATAGCATCCGAATAGGAACACCCTAGCAACCATCTAGGATACCATAGCAACTGCAAAGCAACACCCTAGCAACACCTGGGATACCATAGCAACATCTTAGCTGGCTTTAAACTGCACAATCATTCTGATTTTTTTCTCTTATTAAACTTATTAAACTTAACGTATTAAATCTCAGAACATTAAATATTGTGATGGATTTTGTATCATTAAAATGTCTTGAAGTATTGTGATACAATATTTTTGCCAAATTGCCCAAATATAGCCGTCACTGCAGCAAAGCGGGGGACAAACTCATTAACGCCCCTCATCTCAGAAGCCGTGGTCCTGCAGTCGGCTGTAAAGGTTGAAGTCCTGAGGTCTGAGCAGTTGAGCCTCGCTCTTTGGAGAGGAACATAACTGTAGGGTTTGGGCTCCGTTCTGAGTTTACTCAGCCTGTCTTCAGGGTGGACTGACCTCGCCGTCTGTCCATCAATGTCTCTTTAGCTTGTCATCACTTGCGGGGTCAGTCAAACACCCGCAGTGAGTCCAGCCCTTACTTTAAAGCGACAGTTTGGTGGAAAATCTCATTTAGCCAGTTACCCCAAATGTAGTGGATCAGCTGAGACAGGTCTGGCGTCTGAAGTTTGTCTCTTTGGTTTTAGCACTGGAGCTACGAGGCTAATGCAGCTGACATGCAATGGAAGCTAATGTCCCACCAGTTAGCCTGACGCTAATCACTGAAGCCTGAATTTTGTCTTGTAACTGTGACTGAATGGATCAAGAGTGAATTAATGACCTTCACATGTCCTCCACTCTGCCTTTGAGCTGCTGGGTCACTGTTATCGCTGTCGTGTCCAGTAGAGAGAGCCGTTTGTGCCTGAGGGCATCAGGTTGATCAATCTTATCTATGGTTATCTTATCTATGAAGATGTCTTCGTTTAGTGGTCTGTAAATGTCATCATCATCATCATCATCATTGACCGCTTAGTCCAGATATGGTCGCGGTAGCAGTTGGGAGAGCAGAGAATCTCAGACGGCCCTATTAGGCCAACATGGAGATATAATCCCTCCAGGGGGTCCTAAGACAACCCCGGGGTCTCGTCCCAGTAGGCCATGCCTGGTAAACCCCCACCGGGAGGCGTCTATAAATGTCTCTATGTTATATTGTCGCTGTCCAAAGAAAAACATAAAAAAAACAACTTTTTGCGATTTTTACTTTTCTGCATCATTTGAGCTCAGCAGCTGTCCTTTACATTGTGTGAATATTTCATGGTGATTGGACCAATAGAAACGCTCCAAAATTGCTTACAATAAAATCTCTTTCCATTAACTTACATTTAAAATAAAGAATGTTTTTGCCCTCTCCTGTAAAGTTACGATTTTGGAGATACTTGTTTTTCTTTCAACAGCTATGATATGTTTGTCTCCTGTGTTTATATGTCCAGTTATGAACTGCCCCTCGGGGACAAATGACTCAATTCAGGTCAATTCAATTCAGTTGGTCCGTGCGTATAGGTAACAGTGAGTCATACAGTAGCTGCGTTCCAAATCCTAGGCTGCAGCTGAGGTAGTACAGGTCCTCGGTAGGACTGTCCTATGAAGACTCCTCCTTAGTAGCCTATTAGTCACACAAATGGAGCAGCACTAACAAGGCTGCGTGGTGACGCCACCAGAGCGGCGCCAAACTCGTCAGGGAGCTGGTGAGAGAAAATGGAGTCGGTTGCATTGAGTTTGTTGCTATGGTAGCTCATACGCCAACAAGCTTATGTAGTACGATAAACTAAGTATCTACAAATACTTCTGATTATAATACAATACAGTATATGGATGATATACACTGATCAGGCGTTACATTATGGCCACCTCATTGTCCATTTTATCAGCTCCACTTACTATATAGGTGCACTTTGTAGTTCTACAGTTACAGACTGTAGTCCATCTGTTTCTCTGCATGGTTTGTTACCCTGTTCTTCAGTGGTCAGGACCCCCATGGACCCTCACAGAGCAGGTACTATTTGGGTGGTGGGTCATTCTCAGCACTGCAGTAACACTGACGTGGTGGTGGTGTGTTAGTGTGTGTTGTGCTGGTACGAGTGGATCAGACACAGCAGTGCTGCTGGAGTTTTTAAGCACTGTGTCCACTCACTGTCCACTCTATTAGACACTCCTACCTTGTCAGTCCTCCAAGTCAGAGACGATAGCTCATCTGCTGCTGCACAGTTTGCGTTGGTCATCCTCTAGTCCTTCATCAGTGGTCACAGGACGCTGCCCACAGGACGCTGTTGGCTGGACATTTTTGGTTGGTGGACTATTCTCAGTCCAGCAGTGACACTGAGGTGTTTAAAAACTCCAGCAGCACTGCTGTGTCTGATCCACTCAGACCAGCGCAACACACACTAACACACCACCACCACGTCAGTGTTACTGCAGTGCTGAGAATGACCCACCACCCAAATAGTACCTGCTCTGTGAGGGTCCATGGGGGTCCTGACCACTGAAGAACAGGGTAAAAGGGGGCTAACAAAGTATCAGAGAAACAGATGGACTACAGTCTGTAACTGTAAGTGGAGCCGATAAAATGGACAATGAGCGTAGAAACAGGGAGGTGGTCAGAATGTTATGCCTCATCGGTGTACGATCTATGAACGAATGCTTTAATGAATCTTTTACACTTTATAAGGTTACAAAGACGAATTCAAGGACGTGAACATCTTACATTTTAAAACGAGCTCTGCTCCAACGGCTTTGTTTTCTGTCATTTTCGTGATGCTGTTTTTTTTTTTCCTTTGCGCCGTTCGTGCGCAGAGGACTGTGGGTAACCGAAGGCCTGGAAGGATACATTATTTGCGTTCTCAAAATCACTCAGAACGTAGGCTGCATTTCTAGGCTGTATAAGAAGGTCCTCCACTTTGGAGCGCCTGCTATGACGTAGAGGCCGAGAAATGCAGCCAACCTCGGCTGCGGCTGCTGTCTCCTGCACTGAAGTCTATTAGAGAAACCGAACATCTCCACATGAGCGACGTAGACGTGCAGTTGGCACCATGCTAATTGGTGGGGTATATGCTTCCATTACTATCTGCATTAGCTTCACAGCTCCAGCGCTAAAAGTGAAGAAGCAAATTTCAGACACCAAACAGGTCTAGGCTGGTTGACTACATTTGGGGTAAGTGGTGGTGGGGGTTGGGGGGGGGCACTGGGGAGTTTGATTTTTCACCAAACTGGCACTTTAAAACGGAATCACAGGTGGCGCCCACCGCAGCGATCATCCTGAATGTGAACTATCGCTTTAATCCATCTCTCTCTGTGTCCTCATTTGCCCGATTCTGCCGCTCACCGTCAAAATCGACGGTTCCATCTCCGTTGAGGTCGATATCGGACAGAATCTCCTCCAGCTCGCCCTTCTTCAGCTTCTCCCCCAGCAGCGTCTTCATCGACTCCTTCAGCTCATCAAAACTGATCCGCCCATCACCGTTACAGTCAAACTGAGAGAGAGAGAGAGAGAGAGAGAGAGAAAGAGAGAGAGAGAGAGAACACAGAGAGAGAGAGGACAGAGAGAGAGTGTAGAGGGTAAATGACTAAAGATTAAGAGAGGTAAACAACATGAATTTGTCCTTTGACCTCTCCCCAGGCCTCACTGTGTAAAAACAAATCAAAACAGTGTTAAAGGTCACAGAGGACCAAACACAGTAGTGCACACTCATCTGTCTGGAAGTAGTGCACACTTGTCCTGCTCTGTAGTGCACACTCTTTCGTTTGGAAGTAGTGCACAATGTTGACCACCTGCTTAGTGGTGCACAATATGAAGTACTAAGAAGGATCTATTTAGAAACACACCAAGTAGAGCACGATTAACCCTCTGTAGTGCACACTAATCTGGGTGAAAGCACACTAGGTAGTGCACAGACTGCAAAAATATCTTAGCAAGTAAAAACATACGTAGTCCACATATCTAATATGAGGTTGTTGTCAGAATATTATAAGATTGTTTCTAGATATTTTTGCTTGTTTTTGGTTATTTTGTCTAGTGAAAGTGTCGTATTCCATTGGCACATAATTATTGTTTTAAACCTAATTTCTTGAAATCAGCAAAATTATCTGCATCATTTCTTAATTTTTAGTAAAAGGATCTGCCAATGAAATAAGACACTTTTACTAGATAAAGTGACTTAAAACAAGTAAAAATGTCTACAAATAAGTTTAATAATCTTATAATATTTATATAACAATCTCATAATGAAAACTATTAGATATCTTGACTACTTGTAAGATTTCTTAATTTGCTATCATTTTTTGCACTGCAGTCCGTCTCTCTCATGCACACTCATTTTCAACTGCACTAAGTAGCACACCCTTGCAGATGCACATGCTGAGTAATGCACACTTGCAGACTTCATGCTAACATGGAGTGCGCACTCATCCGTTTAGTGGTATGACATATGTTTAAATAGTGCACAAATGCTAAATAATGCGCACTTGATTCACTCTGTTGCACTAATCTGTTGAAAGCACCCTAGGTAGTGTACACTTGCAGACTCCATGCTAGATACTCATACTGTATGTTTAAAGGCTAAATAGACAGTGTATACTTGTAAACATGCTACATAGTGCACACTCACCTGTTTGAAAGCACACTAGGTAGTGCACACTTGGGCACTCTGTTGACTTGTTTAAAAGTCCACTAGGGTAAGGTTTCAGACTCTATGCTAGATAGTGCACACTGACGTGTTTGAAAGTAAACTAGGTAGTGCACACTTACACACTCCATGTCAAGTGTTGATCTTTTAGAGTCTTTGCTAGGTAGTGTACACTTCTGCTCTGTGGGGCACGCTTATCTGAAGCATACAGTGATGCACACTTGCAGACCCCATGCTAAGTACTGATAGGACACAATAGGTAGTGCACTCTTGCAGACTCTGGGCTAGATATTGTACACTTCTCCTGTTCTGTAGTGTACATTTATCTGTTTAGGGATACAGTGATGCACACTTGCAGACTCCATGCTCCATGCTATGTTGTACACACTTGCAGACTCTACGTTAAGTACTGATCTGTTTAAAGCACAATAGCTACACTCTTAAAAAAGAAGGTTAAAGGCTTCTTTAGGGAAAAATGATTTTATATAGAACAATGAACACTCAAGGAATGCATGATTGCAAAGCTCTTTGCATCGTGAAAGGGTTCCCCAGATTGCTTTTCCATGGTTCAACACCTTTTGGAAGCACCAGCTTCTTCTACTGTTACAGGCTTGACATCACAACAACAGAAGAACCCTTTTCGAAAAGGTTCTATATAGAACCATCCACAGCACATTCTCCATCAATTTGAAAAACTCTTTAACAATGCAAAGAACCCTTTAATCATGCAAAGGGTTCTTTCAGGGTTCACGGTTCTGTATAGAACCATTTTCACTACTAAAGAACCCAGGAAGAATCATCGGGCCTCATTCTCCAACCGTTCTTAAGAAGAAATTTCTTCTTAAACCCACTTACGCAGTTTTGATGAAGATTCTGACTCTCCAGTGTTCTCTTATGTGGGATTTGTTCTGAGGTGAGAACAGAATCTACACACACTCAAGAGCACAAAGGTGAGAACAGTTCTGCGCTTTAAGAACCCGTCATGAATCTGACGGAGACTTTTTCTTAAGTCCTTTCTCAAGAACACACTTAAGAACAAACTTAGGAAGATGTTGGTGAAGGAGGCCCATCATTCAGTGTAGTGCACCCTTGCAGACTCCGCTCTGTAGTGCACTCTCATCTATTTAGAGGTCAGATGATGGTAAACACTCACAGGCTCCATGCTCTGCAGTGCACACTGACCTGTTTGAAAGCGCACTGAAGCTCTCTCAGCCCCACCATGTGCGCCGTCTCCGTCAGCATGCGGGGGCCCATCAGCTCACAGAAATCGTCAAAATCAACGTGGCCACCCCCTACACACACAAACAAGAGCTTTTCTTGTAGCTTCTTGTTGTGGAAAGCAATAGAAATCAATAAATCTAATATTTCTCCTGTTAAGATTGTTGTAAGCTTTTAGATTTCTAGACATTTTTTACTTGTTTTAAGTCATTTTTTAAGTAATTAAGAAAATTATATTGGCAGATAATTGTGCTTGTTTTAAGAAATGAGCTTGAAACCAGCAACATTATCTGTCAGCATAGTGAGACAATTATACTGAATAAAATGACCTGAAACAAGTACCAGATTTCTGTAAATAAGCTAGATAATCTTAAAATAAGTGCAGAACCACCTCAAAATGGGAAATATTAGATATATCGACTAGATTTAAGATCATTTCACTTGACCATTTGTTGCAGTGCGTTATCTCAAACCGAAATCTTCACACACTCACATTTCATCTTGATCTGCTGGATGATCTCGATCAGCTCCATCTCCGTGGGCATGTAGCCCATCGTCCTCATGCAGTCAGCCACATCCTTGTAGTGCAGGTATCCGTCCTGGTCGTAGTCGAACTCCTTGAAGGCCTGCTGCAGCTCTGAACACACACACACACACACACACACACAGGAACAGTTCCAGCCTCTTTATCCCTTACGGTACGTGTCCTCCTGCAACTTCACCTCACCACATCCTATTCATTTCTACAGAGAGCTCTGCGGTGATGGTCTGTGGTGCAGCAAAATCGGCCGTACGCAAATGAATGTGGCTGCCACACTTCAAAAATGGTCTCCTGTCAAGTGAAATGGTCTTAGATCTAGTGAAAATATCTCACATTTTCCATTTTGAGACAGTTCTGCTAGATTATTTAGCTTATTTCTAGAC